TCACTGGCTGAGCTGCGGAAGAATGCGACACCGGGCTACATGCTCCTCGCGTACCCGGACAGACCCATCCGCTCGCAGCGTCTCGGGGTAGTGCAATCGCACTATGGATCGTGAGACGGACGCCTCGCAGCGAAAGAAGGCGAGCGTCAGGTTCTCCTACAGCGTACACAAAGATTCCGCTCAGCCGAGCCTTTAGAAGGGCAAGACACATCCCGTCGAGAATGATCTGGCCGCGCGGGACAGCTTCTCTGATCTCATCGGCGAGGGGGGAGAGATGGGGTGAGTGTATATGTAAAAAGAGGGGGAAGGGGGGAGGAAGATACAGTATATATTGCGTATGTGTGGTTGGGGAAGGAGTGCGGATAAAGGGCGTGGTGGTAGGCGAGGTGATAAAGTGGCGGTTGGGAGAGAGGGAGAGGGGGGGGGCCGTGGGGGTATGGGGCTTTTGCCACGTAAAAACATTGATTAATTGTGGTGGTGGACAGCGGCAGACGGTAGCCGATCAAGCTGCGGAGCAAGACAAGGTGGGCTGTGGGGGGGAGGGAGGAGGGGGGGAAGGGGAAGGAATGAGCGGTCTCACCACGTACGACTACCAGTGAGACTGATGGTATGGGAGGGGTGGAGGGCTGTGCGAGACGGTGAAGGGCTCGACCGCACAATGTCCTCACTCTCACGCAGCGAGTCCATGGCTGGTGGGGTGGAGGGGGAGAGGTGTGGCTGAGGTGGTATGCCAACGGTTGGTGAGGCTGAAAATGGGGAGCGGTGGGACGGGCTGATGTGGAGGAGGAGCTGATCAGCACAGATGGTGAGATGGTTGGATTGAGAAGAGAGAGTAGTGGGAGAAGGGGGGGTTGGGGGGTTGGCGGGGAGTGAGGGGGATAGGGGGGATAGGTGTATATTCTCGTCGATCTTTGCCATTGTGATGGGTGTGCTGGGGATCTTGTAGAGTTTGTGGGGGGCGGTGTGGAGGAGGGTATGGCGGAGGAAGGCGGGGATGATGGGCATGGGATGCGGCAGCGGGTATGCTTACGTATGCTGTGAAAGATGGGTTGTGATCGGGCTCTGCCAGGGTGTGAGCAAGCCAGTTTGGGGCACGGTCGGGGTTGAGCCGGCTGGATTGCGGGCAGGGGTAGCCAGCACAAGCCATAGCTCAGCAAAGAGGAGATAACACGACTGCAACACGTCTCGAGCATCGAGTGGCTACGGTCCTCTACCCTCATCCAGAATCGCAACAGCATCGTACAACGGGGGAGTCGGCTTGCCGAGTCGATCTGTCGAGATTGAAGACTACGTGCGAGTGCGCGCCGAGTGAGCAAAGTGGTTTGCAGCGCTGGCACCTGACGCACTGCCACGATCATGGCTGCAGGTACGTTGTCCATTGCCAGCCGTCCCCCCCTCTTGTTCCCGCTCCCTCTCACGCAAGCTCTTCCCCCATGTAGGACGGCCCTCACCTAAGAGTACTCTCTCTCCCTTCCTCTCCGTTATCTCCCTGCACTCTGTGGGGCTATGGTATGGCCATGGGTAAGAGGTCAACCAGATGGTCTTGCTCTTTGTACGCGTGAGGAAGTGAAACTGGTCGTGGCAGCCTTTCTTGCGAATGATGGTGCCGCAGGCAAGTCGAATGGCTTTTTTTCGAGTTGGGCGATTTTGGTCATTTTGGCGACTTTTTTTTTTATGGGTTTTCTTGCGTTGGCAACACCGCCCAGCCTTTATGCGCTCTGCAAGCAACTGGGAGAACTTACTTACATAGGTGGTGTGTGTGTGGTATAGTTGACGAGTTTGTGTTTGAGGATCCTGTCGAGTACGAGTTTGAGGAGGAAGAGGAGGAGGACACTGATGAGGACGAGGACGATGATGATGAGTCGGATGACGAGGTTGTGATCGAGGAGGCGAAGGATGCTGACGACGACGACGACGACGACGACGACGACGACGACGACGACGACGACGACGACGACGACGACGACGACGACGACGACGATGATGAAGACGACGATGATGATGTCGATGATGATGTCGATGATGATGAGGATGATGATGATGATGATGATGACGTGGAGGAGGACGTGGAGGAGGATGCTGATGCTGATGCGGACGCGGACGCTGATGAGGATGTCGATGAGGATGTCGATGAGGATGCTGATGCCGATGCTGATGACGATGCTGACGCCGAGGCCGAGGTTGATGCCGAGGTTGATGCCGAGGTTGATGCCGAGGCCGAGGTTGATGCCGCCGAGGCCGAGGTTGACGCCGAGGCCGGCACGTCGGCTGTGGCCGAGTTTGACGCCATTCCCGAGACCAGCCGCGACAAGATCGAGTCCGAGTTTGGCGGCGCGCTGCCGCTGGAGCGGACGTACGGCGCGGACGAGGTCGAGGTTATTCTGAAGGATGCGCGCAAGGCTGCGCAAACGTCAGACTCGTACCACATGTCGGAGCAGTACAAGAACGCCATGGAGGGCTACTTGCTGGCTGCACGGCTGCGCGAGCAGTATGTGCGCGCCAAGCGGGCGTCCATGCTCAAGTTTGAGCAGAACCTCTCGGGCGAACTCAAGGAGATTTCCAAGAAGCGCAAGGCGCGGGTGGCCGAGGCTCGCATCGCCGCCCAGGAGCGCCGCGACGCCCGCGAGGCCCGTTCGCGCCGAGCAGGCCCGTGCCAGCAAGCTTCGCGAGCGCGAGGCCGCCAACGAGCGTGCTGAGCGTCGCGAGCGTGAGGAGGCCGAAGCCGAGGCCCGCCGCCGCGAGCGCGAGGCCGAGATCGCCGCCGAAGACGCGGCGTACGCCGAGTCGCGCGCCGCGGCGCCGCCGTGGCGGCCGTTTCGGACGACGATGATATTGTTGACGACGACGACGTTGTCGACCACATTGATGCTGATGCTGATGAGGATGAGGATGCGGATGAGGATGCAGATGCTGATGAGGATGCGGATGCTGATGAGGATGCGGATGCTGATGAGGATGCTGATGAGGATGCTGATGCTGACGAGGATGCGGATGCTGACGAGGATGCGGATGCTGACGAGGATGCGGATGCTGACGAGGATGACGAGGATGACGACGACGACGATGACGCCGATGACGACGACGATGACGACGATGACGATGGCGACGATGACGACGACGACGACGACGACGACGACGACGATGATGATGCCGACGACGACGATGACGACGACGACGATGATGCCGATGACGACGATGACGATGAATAAGTCGCACGTCTCTCTAAACTGAACCACTTCTTCCCACACCGCCCTCACCCCCCGGCTCTTCATATGTGTGGCCGTGAACCATGCATTGGGGGGGGAGGGGGGAGGGGGGAGGGAGGGACAATTACCATATCAAGAGGTAACGATAAATTTGCCGGAACAGGAAACGTCAGCCAAAAAGCGAGGCATCGATCAGATCGGGTCGCCGGGCCACGAACGGTTGCGAGAGGTGGGAAGGGGGGGGGGGGGGGAAGAGGGAGGGAGGAAGAAGCAGACGCAACTCGGACCGTATTGCCAGCATGTTCCGTACTGGCGTTCTTGCAGGACATGTTGTTGTAGGAGGAGGAGGAGGAGGATTTGGGAGGATGATGTCTGAAGTGGGAAGGGCAATGGTGGTGGGTATGGGCATGGGAAGGAGAACAGCTGCAACGAGCGTGTACGGAAGCGCGTCATCCTCAAAGGTGACGAATGACCCGTCGGCTGTGGGTATGGGCAAGGGAGGAGAAGGATCTGGAAAGAATGATGATGGGAATCTGAAAGATGATGTGGTGGCGGTGGCCTCGGAGAAGAAGACTCCGACAATGTCGTCAGGATCGGCCAGATTGAGGGCTCGTCGAGCAGCAATCTCGCTCACTCCGGCAGCCATGGAGAGAGTCAAGGAGCTGATGAAGGACAACGCAGAGGCTGTTGGTCTTCGTGTCGGTATCAGGTCGGGTGGTTGCTCTGGGTATGAGTATGACATTTCTATGGCCGAAGGTATGAAAGAGTACGACGAAATCGTAGAGGTCGACGATGTCAAGGTCTTCATCGATGGTCAGGCCCTGCTCTACGTTCTCGGATCAGAGCTCGACTACTTTACCGATCGCATCACGGCGGAGTTCCGCTTCTCGAACCCGAACGCCACCTCTACGTGTGGCTGTGGCATCTCGTTCATGGCCTGAGCAAGTGGTAGGCACAACTAGGCTACTGCTGTCGTCGGACGCCGGGCCAAGTCGGCAGGTTTACAGTCTTGTAGCGCAAGGTGTGGGCCGAGTCCGGAGCTCAAGTCGTGATCGCCCTCACAATGGCGCGATGGCTCAAAGATCTGCACAGGCGGGTCGGTGTTCACTCGTACTCGTCGTGGACCAGGCCCGGGCCGACGTTGTTGTAGTACGAGCCGGACCACTCGCGGCCGGCAGCGTCGACAAACTTGCCCTCGCCGTGGATGGCGTTGGCCACAAACGAGCCTTGGTAAAACGAACCATCTGGCCACTGGTACGTGCCCTGGCCTGAGTACTTGCCGTCGGCCCAATCGCCCGAATATGATGCGCCCGACGGGTACGTGTACGATCCCTTGCCGTGCATGACATCATTGCGGAACTCGCCCTCATACTTGGCCTCGCCGTCGATCCACTCGCCCTTGCCGTGCCGCACAGGCATGCCTGCGCTGTTCACAACGGTCTCACCCTTGTACACCGCGCCTGTCGCCCGATGCAGGAAGATGCCCGTCTCCGCCTCGTCCTGTCCCGCACCGTCTCCCGCCGCCACGCCGCGCTCCCCCCGTTCGGCACGATCGTCTCCGCGTCGCCCACCGCTCCGTCCCTTCCGCTGGCCACCACCTCCGCTCGACTGCATGTGTGTGTGCTGCGTGAGTGAAAGCCGTTCCTAATCGATGCCACAACGACGACGACAACGACGACAGTCAGCGCTGTGATGTTGACAATGACCACGACCTCGTTGACGACCGTCACCATCAGGATGACCACGACCACGACCCCCCGCCGATGCTGTACATTCATTCCCCCACCCCCCACCCGCGCCCAATCAAACAATTTTTCCCCCCTCCTCCCCCTCCCTCCCTTCCCCCCTTCCCTTCCCCCACATACCTTTGCGGCAGGTCGGGCACTCCGTGTGCTCCCCGTCGCCTTCTTCCTCTGCCGAGTACGACCAGACATGGTTCCACACACTCACTACCTGTGCACAAGACAACGTCCTCTCCAGTACCCTCTCTCTCTCTCCGTTGCTACACCTATGTGCAAGTAAGGTGTGGTGGCCCCTCGCCCCCCCTCCCCCTCCCCCCTCTCCCTCCCTTCCCCTCCTGAGTCGCCATGTGGCCGCGCGCCGTCGCCAAACGGTGGGCCGTTTTCATCAATCATTTCAATCGTTACTCAATCGTTTCAATCGTTACTCAATCGTTTCAATCATTACTCAATCATTACCTCAATCGCTACCTCAATCGTCTCGAGTGGTGGGATCTGCATGTGGAGATGATGGTGGGCGCAATGACGGTGGGGAATCAGTTGAGGACATGACCTAGATGGAGGGCAGCTGACTCATGGTGGGCTGGCGGATTGGCAGCGTGTGCATGGGAGATGGTAGGTGTCTCAGGGGCGATCAGGGCGTGAGTGTTCGTCCCAGAGGTGGTTCGGGTCCACAGCAGCGAGGGTGCTGTCAGTGCAGCACGATGCAGCAAAGTACATGGCTGTGGTGACACCGGAAGCAGGACACAAGCGAGATGGCGTCGATCGCCCTGACCATCGAGCCCAGTACTTTGCTCAGACTAAGCACGAGCCCATCAGCCACCAGAAGATGTTGCTACTACTCAGACGAGCCAGACTGCGAAGACTGTGGTGTCTGGCCACCGACAACGGCACTCGTCGACTGATCGAGCGGCGAGATGCGTGAGGAGACGAACGACGGCTGAGCAAGATGCGAGCGACCGGTGCGACGGGCAAGGACTGAGGCACCGACAGCGAGAGCAGTACCCGAGGTGAGGACAAGCATGGCAGCCCATGCAACGCGCGTGCCAAAGATGCCCATACTCTGCCCAATGCCGTATGTCGTCGTCAAGTACCTCTCCTCCTCCCGCCGCTACTCCCTCTCACAACCACACTCGTCGTTGACGCGCCGCCTGCGATGCCGCTTCATGGCCGACTGTCTGTCACCTCCTCCAGCTCGATCCACGTATGTCAACACAAATCCAACCTCATTACCACCACAACCAAGTATTGTGTATATTCCATCCCAACTCTCATCCCCATCAGCAAGGCAATGCTCTCGTTTGAGTGATTTCCGTCCTCCCCCTCCCCCCCCCCCCCTCCCACGACAGCTGCCGGTGGCCGACTCGCCCACTCATATACACCCTCCAGCTTGATCATCCCCTCCCACCCGACATCCAACCCCATCCCAACCACAACCAAACACTTCATACCTCTCATACTAACTCTCATCCCCATCCGCAACGGCGATGCTCCCATTTGACCCATTCCCGCCCCCCCCCCCTCTCCCCTTTGGGCCACGACCCGTTGATCAGTTGGCCGCCAACCGCCGGCTCGCCCCTCTCGCCCCCTCTCCCTGCACCCGCTCCCTCCCTCCTCCTCCCTCCACCTCACTCGGGCGAAACCATGCGGTCACGTCGAAGCGAGGGAGCACGAGCTCGCAACAACTACCGCCGACGTGCCACCTTGCTTCCTACACATGCTCTTCGCACGTATGTTGCTTCATGGGGGGAGGGGGGGGGGGGAGGGGGGGTGCACCTGGGGAGGGTGCGGGTGGAGGTGGGGATAGCCATGAGTCGGACAAGTAGTATGTGTTGAGGGAAATCGATGTGTGGTTTAGTGTGGTATAGGAAAATATGTAGTGGGGGACGCGGGTGGGGGTGCTTGGGGGAAAATGGTTGGAGTGTGAGGATGGCTGAGATGGACGTATCAGGTGATGAGGGGCATGGCCATGGCCACGGGGGATCAAAGTCGAAAACATGTGCCTGCCACCGAACCAGACCTGGAGATGGTCCCCGACCTGGAGATGGGCCC